TATCTTCATGTGACATATTAACCTAAATTTTAATGACAAAACATAAGACTCTAAACATCTTTGTTGTAAGTGATTGCTTTAGCTTATGCTTCCACACTCTTTGAATTCTTTCAAAATTCCAAAGGATGGCTTGATATTTTTTGCCATATGCAGTAAGCAAATACTACTGAGTACTCTGTGTAAGGCAGACATGAAGTAAACAAAGATGAATAAAACAAACATACAAAGAACATCATATTTACATATAGCCACAAGTAAAGAACAAATCTTGAATATATCACAAGAAAATATGTGGATGATACCTTACATTCAGGGGAACCAAGAGTTGATTAACAGCTTACTTCTCATAAGAAACCATGAAGGCCAGAAGAACAGCATGTTTAAATTATGAAAATAAAAAAATAAAACTTCTCAATTTAGAAGTTCTTAATTAAGCAAAAATAACTTTTATAAATGAAAACTAAAGAAAGACATTTTCAAAGACAATGATCTATCACCAGTAGGAACTGCATACAAGAAGTACTAAAGAACATTTTTTACACTCAAAGGAAATGACACCAGATGGCTGAGCATCTCTTCAAATGTTTATTGACCATTGAGTTTGCTCTTTGTGAATTCACAAATAATTTATATTTTCCTGATTACTAATAAGATTGAACATTTTTTCAAATGTTTATTGTCCAGTGAATTTGCTCTTTTGTGATTTGTTAATTCAAATCATTTACCCAGGTTTCTATTAAATTCATTTTTCTTAGCAATTTGTAAAAACTTTCTTTATGCTCTATAAATAACAAACCCTGTAACTGTAATGCAGTTAATTTGCCTTTAAACTTTTTGATGTCTTTTGCCAGAAATGTTTAATCTCTCATGGTCAAAGATACCTATATATCAATTTTTATTTTCTGGATATCCTGTCTTAAAGAGAGTATCATGGATCCCTAAAGTGCACACAGATATACATATGACCATAGGATCCTAAAATTAATGACTCAGAATTTTTTTCTTGTGCTTTCTCATTAATCCAACCATTTTTGTTTTTTGTTTTTGTTTTTTAAAATATATTTGTGGTAAAGAAGAGGTGCAAATCAATACTTCTTGTCCTTTTTACACCATTGGCTACTTTGATATCTGACAAAAACTGTGAGCCTTTTCTCAGAATGTTGTATAGACCCATTGAGTTTGCATACTGACATATACTGTCAGAAGGTTGTGGCCTTTTGATTGTAGCCAGTGTGTATCTTGATTACATTTTGTGGAAACAATTCCTACTTAAATACCTTTCTTTGGCTTATCCATTAGGATGACATCAGAATTGTGATCCTTGTACACTGTTACATTTATTTCATTGCTGCCTAGATACAGAACCCTATGTAGTTAATGTATTTTAAAAATAGAGGAAGCTGTGTATGTAAGGTAGGCTGACAGCAAATTTATTGCTCTATCAGACATTACTGTCTATGTTAGTCCTGCAACTTTCATTGCCATTCTATGTTCTTAGACGATGTGTATATTTATCTTGGTTGAATATTTGGTGATTTCATGACTGGAAAAGATTTCTGTCATCCCTTCCCTTCATCTTAACTATGTGACCAAAGTTACCCTATTCTCCTTCATGTCTTTAAACACCAATATCTTAGCATTTTTGGGTTTATAAGTGTGTGGAACTAGAGAAAGAACAGATTTATGCCAGTTTTCTATATATTTATTGTTTTGTTGCTGTTACGTTGATCAGTTTTTACCAAGGCAATCGAATTTGACATTAATGTATAAGAACACAGGCTTTGAGTTCAAACAAAACTCAATTTGTACCCATTTTAATTTCTCTGAGCTTTTTTTAGACAGAGTTTCCTTTTTGTTGCCCAGGCTGGAGTGCAATGGCATGGTCTCAGCTCACTGCAACCTCCATCTCCTGGGTTCAAGTAATTCTCCTGCCTCAGCCTCCCAAGTAGCTGGGATTATAGGTACCCACCGCCATGCCTGGCTTTTTTAATTATTATTATTATTTTTAGTAGAGATGGGGTTTCACCATGTTGGCCAGGCTGTTCTCCAACTCCTGTCCTCAGGTGATCCACCCACATCAGCCTCCCAAAGTGCTAGGATTACAGGCATGAGCCACCATTCCCAGCCTGAGTTCATGATTTTTGTTTTATCTTTTAAACAAAAACTGGACAAGTATAATGTTTTATATGAAAATTTGTTTTTATGTTAAATGTTTTGAAACTGAGTTTTAATGATTAGTAACAACCTACATACCAAATGAAATAGTTTTTGTAAGTTTGTATTAACTTAGAGCTCTCTTCATTGTTCAACACAGATCACTAAATTGGTTGGTGAAATTCCATTTCTCCTTGATTTCCATTGACATTGTATATCCATGGTTTTTCTTCTCCCTCTCTGCCTTTTGTGATTCTGTTCTGACACTATCTCCTGATACTCTGTAAAATGGGCCCTTCCTCTCTAGCTACCTATATACTCTTCATGAGCCCTCTAGCTTGTCTTGATCATCCCCTGCACTTGTCTTTTGTTCATTCCATACTTCTCAGTAGAGAGTCTTTGTACTCACCTAAATCCTGTCTCTCCTTTAGAAATATATCTTCCTGAGGCTTTTCTTAGCCTCTCCAGTGAAATTGAGTCTCTTTTCTGAACAGCTGTAAATGAAAAAATGTATGTGAAAAGATTTTTTTTAAGTAATGTTACATTTTTATACTCAGCATTCAATACACAAGACATTGTTGATATTCAGTCACCTTTATTCAGTACTCACATAAAGCCACCTTACATGGTGTTTACTTTTTCAGAGATTTTTGAAAAATGCTTTTTGAGGTATACTTAAAATACAATAAACTGCATGTTTAAATTATCTAATTTGTTAAAATTTGGCATACATACATGAAACTACACCCACAATCTAACATCTTCAAAAGTTTATGTTCTTATGCAGTCCTCCCTTCCATTTCTCTCCATCACAGGTACAATTGACTCTGTCATTATAGACTAATTTTTGTTTTCTAGGATTCTCTGTAAATTGAATCATACCATGTTTTTCTTAGCCTAGCTTCTTCCATTCTCCATAATTATTTTGAGATTAATTTACGTTGTTGCTTGCATCAATAGTTTATTTCTTTTTATGGCTAAACAGCATCCTGTCATATGAATGTACTTTAATTTGTTCAGTACCTGTCAATGTACATTTGGGATTTTTTTCCAATTTTTGCCTGTTACAAATAATGCTGCCATGAACATTTGTGTATACATCTCTGTACGGACAATGGGCTTCAGTTTTCTTGGGAAACTATTTAGGAGTGGAATGGCTGGATCGTATATTAGGTACATACCTTTTTCAAAAACTGTCAAATCATATTCTAAATTTTACATTCCTATCAGCAGAAAATGAGAGTATTAGTTGCTCTGCATCCTTGCTAATACTTGATACAGTTAGGCTTTTTAATTTTAGACACTCTAAAGATGGGAGGTGGTAATTCATTGTGGCTTTACTTGGCATAGTATTTTAGCACAACTTGAGATAAAAGTTGAACATTTATCCTAGATTGTTTTGCCTTATTTCTTTAACCCTCTGAATTTGAAAAGTCTGAATTTTGTTAACAACTTTCTTCTTTGAAAATAAAAATATGTTTAAAGTGTATGTCATGGTTTGCATGGCACTTTAAACACAAAATGTACTCATTGCCATTCAGGCACAGTATTTTAATGGTAATACTTAAAGGAATCAGAAGTAGTAACAATAAAAGCAGCCTAATTTGTTTTAAATAAATACTCTTTATGTCCTTAGAAATATTTAGAACCTGTTTTGGCTTTTTGTTGTTGTTGTCTGTGCTTTCTTTATTTATCAGTTTTAATTATTTAAGAAAAAGCAAAATAATCTTCTCAAAAATTGGTTTGCAACAAAGTTGTTTATAGAGAGAAACATCCATGATTATGAAGGACAAAAGGAGTTGAACAAATATTTTTCTAAGAACCTTAAATAAGATTTTTAGCTATTAGATTACTTTTAAACAAAAATAGCTATAACCTGAGATTTGAAACTTCATTACACAAAAACCAGGAGAAAATTGTGCACCCAAGTGCTGTTTTATATCAAATGAGGATGGATTGACAACAGTGTTTTTATGCATCTGTTCTGCCCACATAAGAAGCCAGCTTCATCATCTGGATGTGTCCTGGGGCTGAAACTTTTTATAAATATGAGAATTTCACTTTTTTTTAATGGCAAGCAGAATATGGTATCCAGCTGTGGATTTGCTTATATATTGTGTTTGCATTTTTTTTTCCCCTGGGCTTGTTTTATACAGTATATGGCACTACATTGTCATACAAATTTCATGATTAATGCTTATTTATGAAACCTTGTATAAATATCTTAGGACTCAGTCAAACAATGTGCAAGTTAAACAGTTTTTTCTCTGAATATTGGAATGACCTCTCCTTTGGGAATAGTAGGTTGAATATGTTCTTTATCTGCAGAAAAGTCTCATATGTAGCATTTGCCTCTTATTATTTGATATTATATCATTCTTTTTCAATTTATTTTGTTGGACAAGAAATCCAGTTTCAGATTTATTCCTGGGAAACACAGAAAAAATTTAGATGTGGAAATTATTTAGAAATAAGGATGGTAGTTATTTTATATTACACTAAATAATTATATTTACTAGGATGTCTTTGCTTTTTGATTCTGTCCTGTGCTTGAGAGCATTTGTATGTGTTCTATTATTCATATATTGAAATAAATCTACTGTTTGCTAATAAGCTGTGCTTACATTACTGTGGTTTTAATCCACAAAAAATGCTAGGTTGGTTATTAAATATCACAGTGTAAGGCAAATTTCAAGTGTAAGTTAATAATGATCAATGATGCATTGGTAGAGTTTTGTTTTGTAAATCTTACTTCTCTGGAATAATTTTCTCATATTAGTATTTTAGTGGATTGAAACTGGAAATTGAAAGACTTATTTTCTCTTCTCTTTTTCTTATGCTCTCAGGTCCAGCTTTTCTGTGAACTAACTGATACCATGAATAAGGTCTGGAATAAGATTCATAGGAGAGGCAATCTTAACCTATCTTCAGGCTCTCCAGAGACCATGGCAGGGCCTGTTCCTACTTCTCCAGTTAGAAGCAGTATAGGCACAGCTCCTCCAGATACCAGCACATACAGCCCATCTGCTGACATTGGGACTACTACTGAGGTAAGTGTTTTTGAAAATCCTGTTACAAAATGACAGTTAATATATAACATGATTTCCAGATCATAGTTTGAAATGAAGATAACCTCACCACTGTGAAAACTGTTAGATTCTGAAGGTTTAACAGGAGCTGTTTCAGCAGTGTGTATTCCTTTTAGGTCCAAGAATTGTTTTTAATCACTTTCAATAGGTTACGGTACCCCATAGTAGGATTAGTAGGTTGTATATGTTCTTTATCTGTAGAAAAGTCTTGAACATTTATCCTAGGACAATGCAGGCTCTGTGAAATGGTAAAAACTGAGACACAGTAAAGGTATGTTTCCTCAGAAGTATGGAAATGTAGAAGCTGAATGAAAAAGAGGCTCATGGTCCCCTTTTCTCTACCTCTGTTCCTCTATACCTTTCTTGAACCAGGTGACTATTATCTAGTCATCTGGTTTAGATTAGTGGTTTTCAACCCTGTCAGACCCAGTGTCCTCTCCTTCTTCCTCCCAATCATAAAAGCTTTTCTTTTTATTTTTAACATCCTAACCTAGCATGCCACTACCTCTTTTGTATAAGAAATATTTTTATAATGCCTCCTTTACTATCCTGAGTTGAAAATAAAAATGTAACCAGAAATGAAAACAAAAAATAATGTAACTTACATATACATATAATTTCAAAAATATAAAATATCTTATACAAACTTTAAAGCATAAATAAAAGGAAAGTAATTTAAGATACAGTAATATGTACTTCAATATGTAAATGCCTTGCTTAGCATGACTACATTAGAAGACATAATAGAGTAGTCAGATACATAAAATTGCTGTGAATATGATGGCTGCATAGACTTGTGCAGGTCTTTGTTTAATACCACAAGTGGTATTGCTGTTGGTGACGTGATTTTCTAAAATATAGTGACAAACTCTTGGTAAAGTTTCAAACAAAACATAGTTCAGTCTTTCATTATAGTGTTGAATTTTGGAACTTTTAGTGTATTTTAAAATCATGCAAAAATGAAAAAAAAGTTTAGATTTAACATTTTATAAATAGGATTTTCACCTGTGTGTATATATGTGAGACAGTCTTCATTTTTCAGGACTGCCCTATTCTATACAGGACTTCATGAATCCCTAATTCCTAATCCTTAAATGCCAATAATGATACACTACTATTGAGTCAACCAAAAATACCCCATTCATTTCCAAACCATTGCTTAGAGGACAGATATTTTCCCAACAAGAACCACCGTTCTATAGTAGATGGAGGTAGTTTTGTTTTTGTTTCTGCATAAACACACCATTTCCTCTGGAAATAAAGCTATTGGCAAAATACAGAATGGGATAAGAATCAAGGAAAAAGGATGTTAATTTCTTTCATCTTACAAATCAGTAAAAGCAAACAAACTCAGTTAAAAGGACAAATTTCAGCTGCTGTAAGGCTTTTAACACTTTGGAGTACATCTGTTTAACCCCTTGTACAAGGAACTTTTCTCTCTTGCCCATTTCACATCTTAAGAATCACAATAACCTAGGTGATAAGATTATTCTTTTTCTTTTTTCTTTTTTTTCCCAAATGAGGAAGAGGTAGAATGTCTAGAAATGAGCCTGTATCAAGTTAATGGGATACATCCTTTCTAGAGTAAAAGCAGTGAATTCTTTCTGGAAGATTTCCAATGTCATTAGCAAACAAAATCTTTTATAATTCCTGCAGTAAAAAAAGCTATTTAACTTTATTGAATGAAGCAGTTTCCAAACTTATTTAACCAAAAGCTCATTCTTCTCAGTCTGCCTATTAACAGTGTACAAAATATATTTTGTGAAATCCTTTGGTAGAGTAATCAAAGTTTAATCAGTTGCTAGACAAGGATCGTACAAGTGAAACTGATAAATACAGCTAAATCTTAGAGACATTTAAGTAGCTGAAAGGAGAATGTTCCATGAAACAGTTGTTTTCTAAGTACTGTGTTTACAGGAATGTTTAGAGGAACATGACATCCATTTTGGAGGGCTCACTCAACTCTTTTGGAAATGTTTTGTTTGGTTTTTGTTTTTTTTTTTTTAAGGAATATTTAAAAGAAACTTCAAGTCTAGGAAAGACAGGGCCCATATGAAATGGTTACAGCTTTTGGTCATACATCTAGAGACTGGCATTTATGCAATGTATAGTGTGAATCATGCACTGTAGGATTGTACAGTGTACAAACAACACAAAAGGACATAGTGGCCCTGATGTGAAATGTAATAAAAGTAAATGCCCTAGATTCATAGAGGAAGGATTAATAAGTTCATTCTAAGAGATCTGTGGCTATTTTGTAGAGAAAATAACACTTGAGATGGATATTTAAAATTGAGTAAGACATGAGTAACAATTTTGTTTTAGTAGATGTATAATAATACATTCTGAAAGAATAGTATCCTCATCAGCCAAAGTGAGGAAGTTAAGAAAAGGGAAAATTTTGCTAAATTGCTTGAAAACAAGTAAATCCTGATTTTAACAACATCCTTATATGACTGAAATTCATTTTGAATTAGAAAGTTGAGGATTTTTTTCTGATTGGGCTATAAAGACAAGTAATGAAAATGCTCATAGTGGATGTGTTAGTTTTGTGTTATCTATATATTTAATCTGACCTGTATGACAAAGATCTGAAAATGACAAAATCTTAATGCAAAACTTTCATATATTAATATTCAAAAAAGACTATGTAAAGCAGCTCATAGAAATGGAGTCATAGGGGAAGGTGGATGGGGAAATGGCATATATTTTCAAAGTGCACCCTATTCTCTTATTTATATATTGTGGTCAAGAAGAGAGATAGATGATTACTACTAGTCCAATATCAATTTGAAATCCACTTGGGAAGCTTGTTTGCTGAGAGGTATATTAGAATAATTTAGCTGATTTGTTTTTCACAGGCAGGAAGATTATTATGAAGATGGTTATGATATGATAATCAGTATTAAGGCATTGATCCAAGTTTACCTTGAGGAGGTGTTTATCTATTGAATATTTCATGTTTAATTTCTATTCTTGCTCTCAAAAAATATTATAGGTAGATTAAGATAACTATGTGTGCATCTGGATTTAAATTTACCTCTTTCAATATTAGTAAATTATGACATAAGAAAATATAGTCATTGTTTTCTCTAAGATGTATGGATGCTTCATTGTGACTCAATCTGTGTTTATTTAATTCATCCAGAATTCAAAATTTGTGCCCAAGCCATTTCCCTTGTTTTATAATGCTGCTAGAATTGTGCTTAATGACCTTTGTAATTTTTATGCCTTTTATTTTGGGCTCTAACATGGGAGGTTAGGTTATTGTGGACCTTTGAATTCCTATGTAAAAAATGTTTTTGTAATTTTGATGAATTTACCTGTGTATTTAAATGTGTTACCCGCCACATGGAAATAAAGCCTTGATCTCTCACTATTGAAGCTACTGAACAAATGTGACTATAGAGGACCTATATGAAGGGGAGACTATATATATCTGTATTTTCTGTGTGTTTGTTTTAATCTATTCAAAGCCTTTATGCTTCTTTGAACATAGCATTCCTGGAAAGCTCTAGGAGTCCTTCTCTGCTCCTGGTAATCATTGTCCTGATAATCTTTTGATTATAAGAATATTTTCTGTTAGCCACACTATCATGTCAACAACACAACTATCTGCATACACATAGAAATATACAGTGTATATGTTGCTTTTAGCTATAGTAGTACTTCCCAATCTTTTTTATATCATTTCACATATAGGAAATGTTATTTGTATCTGTGGTAAGCAGAAAAACCTCCACAGCATTGAAAGCTTCATTCACCCTGGACCCACCCAAAGACTCTAAAGGCCAAGGTAATCCATGTCTCAGCATAGCTGTGACAAATCTCATGGTGTTTCAGTGCAGTAGTTAGCAAGCTCTCGGTTATAATTTCTCTTTCCTAAATATGTTCTTAGTATTTTTATTGCCTGATTAATAAGGTGTTAATGAATTTAAATAACATTGTTACATTGAAATTGTTTTTAATTATAGCTCCTTCCTCCCTATTTGTAGCAAAATGATAAAACAAATAACAGCATAGGGCCCTTGTGGTACAGCATTTGATTAGTGTGGCAGAATCTTCTTGTGCCCAGGACTAATAAGAAAATAAAAAATTAAATTGAAATGACATAATTAGTTAACTCTAATAGGTTTTCCAAAATCTGTTAGCAAGCTGCATGAGGCATATCACTGGCTGACTACTTGCCTGCTCTGTTTTGAGTAAATCCTAGTGTTGTTCCTGCCTTTACAAGAGCTGGGAACATAAAATGAAGACTCACTAAATTGAAAATGTTTAAATAGTAGCATGTGTATATAGAACTGTGCCTATACTCAATGCCTAATGCAAAAATTTTATGAAGGAGATTTGTATTAGCTTTCCCTTTTGGACTACTCACTAAACTAAGTACTTTACAAACATTATCTCTTTTTGAGACAGGACAGAGTCTCACTCTGTCGCCCAGGCTGGAGTACAGTGGTGTAATCTTGTCTCACTGCAACCTCCATCTTCTGGGTTCAAGTGATTCTCCTGCCTCAGCCTCCTGAGTAGCTGGGACTACAGATGTGCACCACCACACCCCACTAATTTTTTTGTATTCTAGTAGAGACAGAGTTTCACTGTGTGGCCCAGGGTGGCCTGGAACTCCTGAGCTCAGGCAGTCTACCTGCGTCAGCCTTCCAAAGTGTTAGGATTACATGTGTGAGCCACCTTGCCAGGCTACAAGCATTATCTTATATAATTCCCAAAGCAGTTTTATGAGGTAGGTTATATTACACTTTCCATTTTACAGTGAAGAATTTGAGGTTAAGTAATTTGCTCAAAGGCATAGAGATAATAAGTAGCAGAGCTGAAACTAAAACCTCTGCATTCCGACTCTAGAGTTCCTATATATTTTTATTATATGATTCAATGGCTTATTTCATTGGCTAATCTTCCTTTTAAAGTTAGTTACTGTCATCAAGTGTAATGTGTGCTTCTTT